GGAATGCCCTTACTGTCCTCTTTAGGGGGAAAAAAAAAGTATTTGAGTAATGCATGAATACATGCTTAGAAAAATTGTAAATGACATGAAAAAACACGGAGTAAAAAAATATGTGTATCTGTAGACATGTTATATAAGTATATAAACATTTATATTTATACATTATAAAGGTATATTTATAAATATGGTGATAGTGGTTAACAGGGAAAATGTATACATATATGTATATACATGTTGGGGTGTCTGTGCATCTTATACATATTTTTACTCTAAAATTGATTAGCTTATGCTGATTATTATGACCCTTGATATTTCCACTCTGAGAATTTTGTCTATATCAGCAAATGTAGATCCACCTCACTCTTGTTAATGGCTGTGCAGTGTTCCAGCCTATGGATGCACAGTACTGTAATTCTTCCCTTATTCATGAGCATTTAGGTCGTTTCCATTTGCCATTAATAAACAGTGCCATGTTGAACATCTTGGTATACGTGTGCCTAGCTTAGTAGGCATATGTGAGTTAGTTCTATATGGCAAATGCCTAGAATCCCTGGATAGGTGGGGCAAAGCGTACATGCATTTAAAATTTTGGTAGCTCCTGCCAAATCGTCCATCAAAGAATTGTTCTAGTTTCCTCTCCTGTCAACAGTGTTTGAGCTTGCCAGTTCCCTATACTCTTGCCAAGATAAGACATTATCATCATTTTTAAATTTTTACCAATCTAGTAGGCAAAAACACTGGTGTGAATATCTCTGCTTGGAAGAGAGATTGTTTCATATGTTTATTGGCCATTTGTATATCTTTTATAAATGGCCTTTGCTGGTTTTTAAAAAATTGACTTATCTTTTTCATATTCATTTTAGAAGTTCTCTTCATGTATATAGATATTAGTCTCTCGTCTCTTAGGTAATGTTGCACATGTTTTTCCCCTGCTTTTACTTTATGAGAAGGCTCAAAAGTGAAATGCCTTAAGTGACCAGGCAGGTAAAGTCAGTGAGTAGAGGGGTGGGTGACAATTATGATGAACCAGAGAGCTACTGACCCACCGCAAGAGGGCTCCACCTCTTGGCCACAGCTGGTTACTGCCGCAAAGGTGTGAGGAATGGTGTTGCCAGACATCCAGATACTTACTCCATTTAAAAAGCAAACAAGTCATCAACAACACAAACCTTGTAGACAAAACAAAGTGTAGGCCACAACTGGCCTTGTAAGCCTCCAGTTTTGGACTTCAGGTTTATAGGGTATTCTAATAGGAAGAGATTTTAAATATTTTGTAGTCAGATTGGTCACGTGGGTCCTGTGAGCTTTTTATCTTGCGTACGAAAGGCTTCTACAAGCCAAGACTAAATACTCATCTGTCTTGTGCTCTATTACTTTTATAGTTTTGCCACTTTACCTTGACATCTGAATCTGCTTGGGATTTATTTTCATATAAGGCATACTATAAGGTTATAACATGTTCTCTGAATGTCCCAATAGCCTTAATTCTTCACTGTGATTTGCTAAATCAATTATTCTATGCTAATTTTCCTGTTTTCAAATTGGTAGATTGGCCATTCCTCTACCAATGACACATTTTTAAATTTTTGTAGCTTGGGAATCTTGTCTGGTAGAACAGACACCCATTTGTTCTGTTTTATCTTAATTCTCTTGATTATTCTTCATACATTTTCTCCTTCAGATATACTTTAGAATCGCCTTGTCAAGTCCTGGTGGAATTTTGACTGGAATTACATTGTATCATAGGTTAATCTGGAGGAGGATTCACAGATTTCTGATATTTTATAGCTGGGAAAATGGCTTGTTTTTCCATGTATTTATTGGGGTCTTTTGGTCCTTCAGAAAAGGTTTCTTTTATTACCTTTGCATGGTCTGTGTATTTTTTGTTAGAATTATTCTTAGGTATTTTCTAGTTATTATTGTTCTTTTTTTATCCTTACACTTTTTTTTCCATTATATTTTTTTAAATTGGGTTCCATATCGGAATTTGTACCCTTCTTTATCTCCTTCATACTTTGACTCAGATCTGACATGGTCTCAACCAGGAGTCCCTTCTTGAACCCTCAGCTGGGCTAAATGATCAAACTTCATGCTTTTCTAGCACACTCCTCACCTTGAATTGAAATCTTCTGTTTATGTTTGTTTCTCTCCCTTCCAACTGTGGCCTCTTGCTTATTCAATGCTTATGTATATTCATACTGCTAACATGGTGTCCAATAAATAATGGATGCTTAAAAATACTTGGCTTTTTTGAATCGTGGAATATATTTTACATTATTGTAATAAAAGTGAACATGTATATATATATATATATATATATATATATATACGTTTTGTTCTTTTAAAATGTAACATTACAGTGAATATTTTTATCTTGTAACAGTCATTATAGTTATTTAGAATAGCTGAAAACTAATAGTAACATTTAATTAAGCATTTACTCTGTACTAGGTACTGTTCCTACTGCTTTGCATGTATCCTCTCACTTATTCTTCACAAGGATTATATTAGGCAGGTTCCCATTTTACAGAGGCAGAGACCGAGGCACAGAAAGTAAATTGCTCAAGGCGTGTAAAAAGTAGAGTAACCGAAATGTAAATATCTGTTGACTAGATATAATCGTTTAGAGAGTTTATAAGTTTTGGCTTAATGACTGACAGTGACCATCTTCATGCAGACCTTTAACTTTTCCATTTAAAAATGATTTTCTTCCAAGGAGTGGAGCACAGATATTTCATGCTACTTGCATTGCTTTTCAGAATTTCATTGTGTGTGCCTCAGCCTCACCTCAGCCTCTGTGCCAGCATTATTCTAGTCACTGTTGAATAAACAACAAAGATGATATGGCTCCTGCCCAGAAGGAGTTTATAGTTGAGTTTGGGTGATGAGACAAATAAAAGTGAAACCTAGAGTGGGATTAT